CCACCACGAACCCCAGTGCCTGCAGAGCAAAAGGGACCAGGCTGCACCAGACTATGTTTTTTCCTGGTGACACAGCCCCGAGTCCCAGCCTTGCCACAGCTGGTGGTGTTAGCACCTAATGGTTTCCTATAAATACCAGCAAGAAGAGCAGCTTGCTGAGTTTGCACCAGCATATGAGCAAAAGTACCAATAGCTCAGGGAAGCACCAGGTTCTCCAGGAGCTCTGCAGGGCCACTTGAGTCTCACAAAACCTCGGAATGATCCTTCATTTGGTTACGTGCCTACTTTACTTGCCTGGCTAGCCTTCATGCCAGCTTCCTTTTCCCTTCCATTTAACAAGAAAGTGCTATTCTTTCCTCCCTTTCCTTTTGTTGCCTGCAGAAATATACTTTCCTCTCCTACATTTCCTTTGCCCACCACCAGGCACACACATACAGCCGCATAGCTTTGGACACCAAGGAAGCAAGGAGAAAAGGGGTCACAGCAGAGCCTTATCTCTGGCTTTGCAGTTCTGGCCTGCTTAGAAAGCAAGACACGTATTGCCTTTAATTATTCATGTGGGTAATGGCAAACTCTGAGCAAACCCAGCTCCGGCCGCCACGGGCACCTCTTGCTGCCCGTGTTGCAGCAGGAGGCGGCTGTGGTTGACGCACCTTAGCCCTGGGGTATGCAAACATCTCAGAAAGGCTTGTCAGAAATAGAGTGCAATAAAACAAAGAAGAAAAAATAATTAATCATTCCAAAAGACAAGAGGGTGAGAGTACAAGTAGAAGGAGAAACCTGACAGTTTGTGCTGTCTCCCCTGGGAGGGGGAGACTTAAAGGGTGCTCCAGGGCACGATGCTTTAAAAGCACAGGGCAAAACCCACATTCCAAGGTCTGGATGGGGCTTTCCTGCAAGACATCCTTTTCTCTCTTTACTCCCAGGAAAAGGAAAAACAAAAAGGATGATCCCCAACCATATTTGATTTGTGACTGCTGCCCTCTTAGAGCTTAAGTGGAAGCACTGACTCAAGCACCCAGGCATTTGTTGGATTTGCAGCTCTTTTGCTGTGTGAACAAGACGCCAGCGGAGGTTTTGGTCCCTGTCCCCGGCAGTGCCAGGGGCTGGCCCTGCTGCTCCCACTGCAGCGTGGGCAGAACGAGCTACAAGAGCCCGGGACAGCAAAGCTTTCATTTCAAAACCCCTGTGCTGCCTGATCACCCCCTGGTTTAACATCAAAACCAAGTAACCAGGAGAGGCTCCTCTCACCCCAAACTGGCCAACACATCATCCTGACTCTCACATCCTAACCCCGTGGCAATTACCTATTGGGTCTGTGCTACTGTCCTCCAGGGCGATGTCCATGCTGACGATGATGGTTGTTGCACACACAGGAACCTCATGCACTGTGAGAGCTGCAGCCCCTGAAACACCAAATCTCCAACATGCCTGACCACCAGCTGCACTTCTGAGCACATGAGCATCAAAGCCTCACACTTGAGCTATACCAGTAAGAAAAACCTTTGATTCTCACCTGATGCCCTTAACCTGCTGGGGTTTTTTTGGTTTTTTTTTTTTTTTTTTGGTAGGCTGAGGGTCTCCTAAGGACATAACGAGTCCCAGGTGAGAGGACGAGCAGCAGAAATGGGAGGCAGGAGGTATCCATAGCCAGTGAGGGCCCTGGCCCTCAGCTGAAATGCATTTTAGGCTCCTAATGGTCAGGTCACCTTCTAACCATACAGAACGGTGCTGTTCCACTCATAACCCTTTCTACTGGATGTTTCACTGGCACAATGCATACAGGAGGCAATCAAAGCAATATATAAAGGAATTTAAAAATATATATATTTCTGAAACAGTAATTGGATTTATTTTGAAGCAGAGGTTAATAGGTTGGGCTGTAGGCAAAGCTGTAATGCAAGAGCCAGGCATGTGTGGCTGCCCGGGAGTGCTGCTCATGGACCCAGAGTGCACAAGCCAGGTGCCCTGTGCTATTTCGCTATTTCTCCCCAGAGGGCAATGGCTTTTCTTTTTTCCCTCCCTATCCCAACGGCTGCAGCTGTGAATTTTAGTTGAGGCTTTGTTTTGGAGATTAATATCCTCGCAGTATAATCTCTTTTTGTCTTATGCCCTGAAAGAAGCATTAGAGATGAGAATTAATGCCACAATGCATTTCAATAGCTGGAGCAGAAAGCTTGGCTTGCTGTGGTAGCCACTTCCAGCAGAAGGTGCTCACCGTCAGTTTGAATATTAAACTCCCTACTCTGTTTCAATAGCAGAGATGCTGTCTCCGAAAACCGCACCAGACTGAGGGGACACATTCAAAAGCTTTCAGAACCCCCGTTCCAACGGCATTGCCGTATGGCGAGCCCCGCGTCCCCACGACGTGAGCGCCCGTTGATAGCTGGGACAAAAGGTCCAGCAAACTCGGTGCCGGGGGGAATTGCTGCAGGATAAAGACCGTGTCACCTCTGGGTCAGTGGCACAAAAGGAGCTGGGGTTACAGCAGCCGCCTCCTCGGAGGGCGCAGGCAGCACCAGCAAGGGGCTCCCCAGGGCCCCGGCTCTGACGCCAGCCCTGCTGTGTCATCAGGGCCCTCATCCTGGCTAAAACCACCCTCGGGACTGATACATGGGGGACGTGCACAGATGAACAGGATCCGCATGGATCCTCTGCAGGAAGGGCCCTGCCAAAGCAAGGCCAGAGGTGAAAACGGGTGAGATTTTCCACAGCTTTTAGCAGGATTCTGGCAGTCAAGCGCATGAGTTTCCGTAAAAATACTTCTGTCCAGTCACCGCTTAAAGCACAGAGAGAAACGGAGGCAGCGCCTCATGCGCCTACCTGACACATGGCTCTCCCTACCCCTTGCCTGGAGGCCAGCAGGGCAGCTCCAGCGGGCCAGACGGACCGGGCCAGGCCACGACCCAACCCAGGGGCGCGAGGGCCGCCCGGCCCCCACGGGCCCTCCCACGGCCCGCGCGGCCAGGAAAGCGTTAAGCGCCGCCCGACTACAGCTCCCAACAGGCATCGAGGCGGCGTTTGGAGGCGAACTCGATCCGGGAGCAGCCCGAGCAATGTGAAATTGAAAGCGAGCCCCGGGGGCTGTCGGAAGGTGTAGTCCGACCCCCCCACACACCCCACAATGGGGACACCCTCCTCCCCGGCCGGAGCCAGCGCGGCTGGCGGCGGGGGCAAAGGGCCCCTGCCCGTGGCGCCCCAGCCCGCCCGGGGGGCGCCCGT